ATAGTATTCCTAGGGATAGCAGTGGTTATGTGGTGGATTAGTTTTGTGATGGAAGTTTTCTTTCCAGACGTCACAGTGATGATTAGCGTAGAGGTGACGTTGCAAAGAATGGCCGATCTACATTTCCAATCATCCATAGAAGAGGTTCGTAATGGTGGTTCGTGCGATCCGAATCACTTTGACACACCCATCTCCTTTTTCAAGCCTTTCATGAGATCTCACCTTATTACGCCCCTCTCCAATGTAATGTTGTTTTTTAGTGAAGATAAAAATTAATGTTATGATGTGGAACACACTATGTTTTTCATCATTGCAGATACGAACGAGTGTTATTTTTGATGTTTACACACATTATTTACGAATGAATGCCAATTTTTATTGCAGATACATTACTTCGGAGCCAATTCTAAAGAAGCTGAAAGGCTCACAATAACACGGGATAGCTGAGAATCAGAACAAATACAGTTGATATTAGTGTGATATGTTTTACTATGAAATTCGATCAATCGACCGTTTACTTCCAAACAGTGAGGTCGCGCGAAAAACACAGGGTGTCACAAGCAGCCAATTAGAAGGAAAAAGCAACAATAGAAAAAAGATCATTCGGAGCGGGTTGCAACGCAACAGTTACAGTAGAAGCAGCGTCAATCTCAGCTTTTGCAAAACTTGGTCGTTGGAGTAATGAAAGGCGGGTTCGTCGATGAGAGTCTGTTGTTCATATATGCTTACTGCACATCGAGCCGCACCATCATTCATCCCTCACGTCTCTAAAACGTAAATTTACACTATCTGCACATGAGTTGTTGAGCAAGTTTCTATAAACGAGTCAATCCTGAAAAAGAAACACTCATAATAATAAAAAAAACATTCAGCCTTACTTTGAATTGATGGCGGTGACCAAATGTCGACACTCGGCGGAATCGATATATGATGCCCAGTACACCGGTCTGCTGACGGAGACGAGATTTGCATGCTCAATAACAAGCAGACGAATGTATGCTGCAAAGTAATAAGACACCATCATTTTCACTTCAAAGGAAAACAAACAAAAAAAAACACTCACGTGATCATTGTCGTGTGGTTATGAGAACAACTATCGAAAGTCGCGGGTAACAGTACGCTGCACCAGAGAGGTCACTTGTCACGTCAAATCGGCCGAAATAGTTCCAACTGCATAGCGCCGAACTTCTTCTCCGAGATCAACAAGTCCAACATTTTGAAAGCGGTTCCAATTGTTCCCTGCTGGCCTCGGCGGTGACAAAGGCCATCATGAGGCTAATGCAGGGAATTGTCGTTGGCATGACTCACAGTTACTTCAGTACCTGAACTGATCCGTTTTCATAATACTTCCACGCTAAACAAGTTTTCTACACTCTCTGGACATAAAAGGAGTAAGCGAACCAGCCCTTTTGGCGTTATTGCTGGGCCGTATGCTGAATGTCGGGGGGGGGGGGGGTTTTGGGGTCCCGACGGTCGACGGACTACTTCAACTCGGTCGGTACGGTAGGAGAGTAATGACGCAAGTGGTGCAGCTGTTCCAGCAGCTCCGCCAAAAGGGCTGGTTTGCTTACCCCAGGACTAAGCCTTGGAGAGAGAGCGGAGCGAATAGAGCGCAGGTCCGTCCTCTCTTTAAGGCTTAGTCCTGAAGTAAGCATCAAATTGAGGTCGGTTTCAAGGAACTGAGTTGAAGTAGTCCGTCGACCGTCGCGGACCCCATCCCTCCTCAACATTCAGCATAATACGGCCCCAGCAGAACACCAAAAGGTTGGTTTGCTACTTCTATAAAAGTCCGATTGACCGTACCACCCTTCTACCCTCTTGACCACTGATAGTGTGCTGTCTTACTGAACAACTTTTACAACTATTCGAGCCTGTCTATAGGACGCATAAGTAAGTAAAAAAGCAAATAAATAATTAAGTAAATAAATAGTAGATGAGAAATAAGTTAATGAAATTAACGGAGTTGGAAACGGTAGGCCTTACGAAAGATTGAACACATCTCACCTTAGATGAATAAACAGCGTCCTAGCCGCACTCGCAAGCGTTGAACTGTGTTCAAGGTGCCCGAAGACTCTTTCTTATGTTAACCTGAGATTTATTGCCTGAAAGGAGGAATGCGTAGTGGCAAGTGCGTCACTTATCCAAGCGCAACGACATGCTGTCAAATCCTGCTCAGAATTTGTCTAACAATAGTCACCACGACTCTTCCATCCCTGTACAGTAATGGTTGGTAAAAAATGACCTCATGGGATGCGAAACACTCACTTGCACATCAACGTTTATCCGCTACAAGGCATGGTATAGCTATTTTGCACTCAAAGCTCGCTATTTTCGAATTTTCAACTGTAATACAGGTGCAACTCCTACAAGGGACTTGATAAGTATCGAAAAGTTCTAATAATTTGAGTTTTTGTGAATGGATATCGAAAGTAAAGTGCTTGATGCAAAGTCTCAGCCTGCGAAAAGCCATCACATTTCATTCTTCATCGATTGAGCAGGATGACGATTCGACTCCATTGCAATGTCAGCCATAACCTCATACTTTGCTGTGATATCTGCATTTTGTTATGGTACAGTTTATTTATTACTGCCGGAGACCTCACGGGTAATTGGGCTGATCAGGAACTGTCTAGGCAGAGCAAAAATTCGAACTATGTTAGCCGCCACTGGACCAAACGTCTACCAGTACATGCCATTCGCTGCTACAGCAAACCATGCCTGCCATTTCCACTCTTTTGCTTGCGTTTCATATGCGACACGATTCATGGCTCAATTTTCCTGAGGCAATTGTTGACGGATTATTTTCTATATCATTCTTTACTCACGCGTCTCCAAAAGCATCATTACTAGCCTTAGTCAACGATGTCCGCGCTCCGCGGTCAGTGGAAGCGCTGTGTGCCCACTAAACAGTTCATACCAACATATGCCAGTTTTTGCCGGTTCTATGCGTCAATCCGCTCTCAGCATTGGAGCTGGCGTATAAAAGCCGGATAGTTAGCTATGGAATCCATCGACTCCTAAAGATGACCACCGCCGGCTACGTTGGAGCTGGCGTCTGCCTATTCGGTGTGTTCTGTGCTCTGATCAGCGTAGGTCAGATCGCCAACGACATCGCTTCACTTCGCGATGAGGTCAATGTTGGCTTGGAAGGAATTCCGTCTCTAACTCGCGGAAGCCCCGGGATCGCTGCTAATCTCTTCAACCGCCCAGCATCTTCCGTGCCAAGCGTTACGTATATCCTGGAAGCTGTAACTGCGAGGAGAACAACGCCGGATGCCCCGCAGGACCAGCTGGACCTCCAGGACCACCTGGAACACGAGGAGATGAAGGTCTTGCTGGTATTGATGGCAAGCCTGGAGCTAACGGAAACTCTCTTGCTGTCGTGCACGATGTACCTGGAGGTAAGTATATTATTGCATCGGAAAAAAAGCCTTACGAACTCTAATGACAATAAATTTTAGGATGCATTCAATGCCCACCAGGACCGCCAGGAGAACCCGGAACAAGTGGACCAGAAGGTGAAAAAGGATTCCCAGGATCAACTGGCAAGATTGGACCACCAGGAGACGATGGAACCCCAGGACCCGTTGGAGAACCTGGAGATCAGGGACAACCCGGTAAACCTGGTTTTGATGGAGCCACTGGACCAGATGGTATGCCTGGTACCAGCTCTTTCCCCGGAGCTCCTGGACAACCTGGAGAGCCCGGATGGGCAGGAGAGCCTGGCGCACCTGGAAAGGCTGGCGAGCCTGGTCTTGATGGAAACCCCGGAACACCTGGAACACCCGGACTTCCTGGAACTCCTGGACACGACGCCTTCCCAGGAATGCCTGGATCAGCTGGACCACCTGGAAAAATTGGTGAGGACGCGAACTACTGTACTTGCCCACAACGTCAAGAGAAGGGAGCTGATGTGCCAGTGCACGCCGCGGCTGGAGGTTACCGCAACCCAGGAGGTTACCGTAATCGCCGCCTCTAAGTACTGCAGTCGATCGATAATTGATTGCGTAGTAGGATTTCGTGTAATTTTGCTTCGTAAAAGAATAAATACAGTACATACCAAGTTTTCATTTTTGCAGAAGGACTGTTCTTTGTTTTACTACCTCCTTCTATAAAACACACGCAGTGAACTTCCATCCAGCCGGTTGAAGGTTTGCATACGTGTTCGACCTACTTCAATAACTAAGACAGATTCAGCAATGTTCAAATCAGTGTCACCTCCCCTGTCCTCCCACGACCAGGTTCTATACTGCAATCCCGATTAGGGCCCGCAGGCATTGTGTCTCTTGCGTTGGGGGGTTTCCCCCCCCTTTACAGTGTCACCTCCCCTGTCCTCCTACGACCAGGTTCTATACTGCAATCCCGATTAGGAAATTAGTTTCTCTCGAGCAGCGATTCCGTAGACTATGAAATTTCCACTACGCGCCTTTAGCCACTGCACTGTTCCCACCTTTTGTTGAAAATCGATGATTTTTAAGGAAATGTCATCATTACCAGAAATCGTTGAGATTTATAGCGATTGAACGGAGCCGTTGTGCGCCATGCATTCGAATTCTGTGCAGATTTTCTGACCACAAAGGGTTGAGCCTTAGGCCGATGTCAGACTTTGCGAATCGCGCGATTCGCTAGCGTCTGCGGTCGCGTCGCGGCCAGTGAATCACTCAATTGGCTGGTACCGCAACGCGACCGCGGACGCTAGCGAATCGCGCGATTCGCAAAGTCTGACATCGGCCTTATGCCACTGCGTAGACTAGGAAAAAGAATTTCCAGGGCAGATGACTTTTAAATGTTTTTATTTGAAAATGCTTCATATTACATACATAATGAACGATTGAAAATCTATCATTAGGTTGCAAGCAACCACACAAAACATACAACCGTATTCGAAGGCACGAGAATGGTACCATTCTGAGGGAATATAAAGCTCTGGGCTCTGAAATTAGTGGGCGATCTAAGCCCTAAAAAGAGTAGCAGAGGTAATTTAGGAACTCCTTAGACTCATTACATGCATTATATTGTATACAATATCAGGTTCATGGCAATGAGGTTTTCGAAGAGAATGACCTAGCAAGTACTGACGACTAATAAGAAATTATACTTGGTGGCACGACGCGGTCTCCGTGGGGTCAGGTGCAGACAGCCAGCGCACGTCAGAGACTCAGAGGGAATACTGTACATGGCAAGAAATAAAGGACGACTTTCGCTAGACACCGGAAGTGGCGATTGTGTTGAATAGGCGAATCTTCTCGCATGTGTCCCGTACCACCCACGTACAGGCGATTTCCGCAGTACGCGAAATCGCGTACTCAGCACAACAGGCGGCGTTACCGTTCAGAATGCGGTTGTTTCGGGCGAACTGAAAATAGCGAGGGTTACTGAGTAATTCGTGTTTGGAACCATGAAAACATCAAAGAAGAAGCTCTATTGGACGCGGAGATAGATTTGTGGGAAGC